GTAACAGGCAGGGGGGAGCTTTCAGCATGGGGGGGGGGGCATCCAGCTCAAGTGGGAAAACCGGAGACATCGGCAGCTTCCTCTCTCACTGATGTCAACAGGCGGGATGTGATCTTCCCCGACGCTCCCAACCCCCCCCTCCTCCCATACACACACACACACATTAAATATCTATTCATCCCGTCTCGGCCCCCAAAAACAGAGCGAGACGTCCTTGTGGACAATCAATAGTGGCGCTCCCGGGACGGCCAAGTACCACGACACCATTCGATACACTGGAAGAGTTTATTCTCCTGCATTCTGGAGGAGGATCTGACATCCCCCGTTTGGGATGTGCGGATATTAACCCTCCTCGGGGGGGGCTGGAGTCGTTACGAAGAGAAGAAAAAGAGGCCAACCGACTGGGACACAAGGCGGCCGTCATCATCAAACTAAACGGATCGCCGCCCCTCTTTTTATACATCAGAATATCAATTTTGAGCGCGTCAGAAAATTTCAATTTCAGGTGGGACCCCCCCCCCGCCCCTCGGTCATTTCCATTACCCGCCCGCCTTGGCTGCAGCCATTCATCAGGACCGCGGGCGTAGGACACCTCCCGCCTGCTCACAAATGCATGGAGCAGGCAATAAAATTAACCTTGTGGCAATTGTTTTCCCACCCGCTTGATGGCCCCCGTACCAGCTCGTCCGTTACAGCGGGGGAGCAATAAAGAAATGTTGTGTAAAAAAAAGAAAAGGAACGATAATTATGAGGGGGGGCGGGGGGGGGTTTTCATTGAAGGGGACCCAATCGCTCATTTGGGAGTACCGGAAATAAAAAAGGAGGAGAGGGGTCGCCTGTTGGGAAAAGTTTCGCCTTTTTAAAAGCCTCCCGACCAACAAGGCGGGTGGGATTTTTTTATGTTTCCAGTGGGCCCCCCTTCCTTAACCCGGCCCCCTTTCTCCTCGGGCGGGGAGGGACAAGACGGAGGGGGGGGGGTCAAGAGGGGAGGGGGAAGAAAATCCTTCAGAGGGTGTTTATTTGCTCTCAACACCACCTCAGCGATCAATATTTTTAATTTGGGTCCGAGTTATTATTTTTCACATCACTGCGCCGGGGAGCCGAGTAAAGTGGCTCATATTTTAGCGCTAAAAAGATCGATATGACAGTTTCACCTTCACTCTGCCCCCACGGCGGCTGCTGCTGGTGGAGGGGGGGGGGGGGGGGGGGGGGTCACATCATAATGGACGGTGGCTAGGAACACCCGGCCCGCCTTGTGCAGGAATCACATCATTATCTGTGGTTGGAGACCACACACACACACACACACACACACACACACACACACACACACACACACACACACACACACACACACACACAGGACAACACCTCCACCTCAACTGTTTGCCCCCCTCCCTTTCCTCAGTCGCGCACACACACACACACACACACGCAGTGGTAAACACTTTATCAGAGCACCCTTTACGAGTGTGCGTTCACTGTGCTCACTGAGACTCGGCCCCCCCGACACATTTTGCGGCCCTGCAATAAATGCGTCAATTCCTTCCACAATCTATTAATTATATCTTCATTTCCAGTCCAAACTATTTTCACACGGGGAATTCTCTCTACCTCTCTCTCTCCCCCATAACTCACGCCTGATGGCAGATTCATTGATTGTTGCTCGACCCCCCCCCTCCCCTCACCCTCCCGTCCTGTGTGTGTGTGTGTGTGTGTGTGATCGTGCACTCAGTGTTTATTCATCTTTGTCACTACATATGTGTGTGTGTGTGTGTGTGTGTGCCTCAGAGTGTGAGTGATGGCCGTGTGGAGTTATGGCCCGGCCGTATTACCGCGCTGACATCTACTCCGTTCGAGTGGCCTCGGTCGGTGCCGTACTTCTCGCCATATTGAAATAAGAGCTCTCTTGGATTTAGTTCTCAATATTTCAACCTGCTTATGTGGCTGCTGCTGTTTCGCTTTTTAAAGACGGAGCTGAGAGGAAGAGGAGGAGGAAGAAGACGGCTGCTCCTGCTAGTTAACCTGTGTGTGTAAAGCGAACACGCCAGTACACAGAGACCCCTCCTCTATGACCCCACTTTCTCTATACGGTATATAATCCTCACATGCAACCTGGTTTCATCATAAAAACATGGAGGAGGGAGCCGATAAACGTTTGAAATACAAGGAGCTAAATGCCGGTGACGCACAGTTCTGGCCGGTGCATCAGGGCGCTCTGCCTGCAGGTGAGCCGGAACAGTTTAGTGGAAAGTTTACCACGTCTGTCCACCAACAAGCTGCTTGTCCCTTAAGAGGCGGCCTAGAAGGATCCACGTTGTTTCTTTTGATAAGTAAACTTTTCCTCCCGTGGCGGCAACTTCTCCTACAGCGTGTTTAAGGATCTAATGACTAAACAATGTTTCCACTCGTACGAAGATAATCCCCCCCTGGTCATCCCTTGTGTCATCACCACAAGTAGTAAAACAGGCAGACGTCAGCGAGGAGAAACGCCTAATCTATTTGCATTAGAACCATTATTGGTCTTATGCAATTAGTTGACTCATACTTCGGCGACAAATCCCACCCCCTGTTTTTTCTTCCTCCTCCCTCTGCAAGCGTCAGGCCTGAAGTTCATCCCAACGAGGAGCTTTTTTCCTCCCGCCTGAGGCCTTTGACTCATTTAGAGGTTTGCGATGTGAACATTTTGCCCACTATAGCTTCCTAAAAAACCCAGTTGTGTGTTTCCTAAATATTTGATATTTCAGTGGGAACGCTTCAATAGAGATTTGAGCTAGACTGTTCCTGTCTCACCCCCCCACCTCCCCACCTTCTCCGCAATGAATATGAATGGACAAGAACCTGTGGATTGGGAGTTGGGCTATCAGGGCGGGCCCTTCCTAATTGACATTTTACCTGCTGTATACCTTAGCGGGCGCTGCAGCCGCAGGGGCCACGTGTCAGTCAAGCTCCTCCACTGGGAGTATGAGGGGGGAGGGCGGGGGGGGGGGGGAGGGGGGGTACGTGCTGGAGGACATCGGGGTGTTGATGGGTTTCATTTGGGTAAATTAAGATGCAGTCAAGAGACAGGCAATACAGCTCTATTTATGGGCTTGGTTTTGGGGGGGCGTGCAGGGCGGGGGGGGGGGGGGGGGGGACTCGACAAATGACACAAAGTTGATTTCAAAGCCACCTTTCTCAGTCGATGGATATTTCAGTCCGCGCTTGAACCTCGCGAGGCTTTTGGTTCATTTCTCCACATCGAGGCACAGTTTCCCTCCAAGAGTGTGACAGCCATGTTATTTATTTATCTGGTATTGATTTGTTTACTATCATATTTTTTTTCTCATATTTGTCTTTCTAGCCTCTTCTACTCAATACTGTCCCCCTTTCTCCCCCATCACTCCCTTCTGTAGCTTTCACACCGAAAACCAATCCATCAACACACACACACACACACACACGCTCTAAAACAGATATCGGAATCTTCTTTTTCTTAGTTGGTTTGTTTTCAGTGTCCGATGTTTCAGACGATTTTATGCTGATAATTTGCTGAACACAGAAGCACCTGAGAAGCCTGAACCAGAGAAAAGTTCAATCACAGTGACAAAAATAAAAAATAAAAACAGGAGAGCGGGGGGGTCTCTCGTAGCAGAATGCCACACATTCGTTCATCAACCCCATTGCTCTCGTTCTCTGGCAGACGTGCATGGGACCGGCCCTCGCCATCCGACGTCGCTGCGCTAGTCCAGAACGAAGAGGAAGCCAGCGGCGGCCCTCCTCGCCGAGAAGAAACGGAAACGCAACATTATCCGACAATTGACAGGCGGGGAGGACAACAAACAATTACCCGGGGGGAGAGGGAGAAATCGAAGGTTGAGGAAAAACAAACCGGGGGGGTAATGTCACCAAAGCTAAATGGCGAGCCCTGTGTGAGAGTCTATTGGTGTTTACTGTCGCCCGCCATTGCAGCATCATCAAAGTCACGTTTCCTGCCGCCTGTCTCACAAGCTGCCGTCTCCATCGCCATCGAAACGCCACACACACACACACACACACACACATACAAAAAGGTTAATCTGTAGACAAACACCATTAAATAAATAGCTTGCGGTGGCGGATATTAGCGGCACTTATGTGAAGCGGCAGATGATTATATTTCCCCCAAAGGCCAGTGTTTGTAATATTCTTTTGAAAAGAGCAAGTGCGACTCGGCGGTCGCTGTGATTTATGAGCGTTTGGTGGAGGAGCAGCGTGGCGTGGCGGGCGGAGGAGAGACGACTCTTTTTTTCCCCGCGTGTTATTACAGTGGAGTTTTTTTTATGTTTTCTTTTAACCACACAATCTCCTGGGAAAGCTGACATGATAAACCTGTCGTCACATTTAACTTGTGGCTGGATAGAGGAGACTGATGTGAAGTGTCTGAGTGTCTGGCTCCACCAAGAGGTCAAAAGCCAAACCTGCATCCAGATGTGGAGCCTGGGAGGCAACGACAAGGGTCTGTCACCCAGATCCTTAGTAATGAGGAGAGGTCCTCGCCCATCAATTCAATCACAGTCTCCCACTCGTTAAAAGGACAAACATCTGCTTGATCAAACCAAGAAATTATAAATTATAGTCAACTAACTATTCTTACCTATATTGTTCAGTCGACAGTTTTCCCCCACAAAAAGAAACTGAAAAGCACTACGTTTGTGATGCAAGTCATCCTGTGTGAAAATAGCATTAAATGAAATGCGCTTTAATAATTACCTCCACTGTATTCAAACTAAAGATAAGGGAGCCGATGATGAATCACATCATCAGTCCCACGACATTCAACAAGTTTGCAGCCTGAGCCGTGAAACAACATTGTGTCCCCGGTGCTCTGCTGCCACCTCGTGGCCACTTGCCGTCACTACGCATTATGCCAAAGGTGAAAAATGGGACCTATATCGAGCCACTTCTCCGGTCTCATTCGTGGAGCTCGTGCGCTCTCTCCCCTCCAGAGTGAAGCCTTCAACGGCTCAGACAGCACTCACCGTGAAGTGCTCCTGGGATGTGAAGTTCTCATCGAGGTAGACGCGGGCTCTGCTGTACTCCCTCATGACGTCACTGGACAGCAGCTCTCTGATAGACGCACACACACACACACACACACACACACACAGAAACATCGATATATCAGGAAAGTACCTTCAGGATGAACCACATATTAAAGATCATGGAGATCTTGGAGTACGATATATATTTAACACAGGTATAAAAAAAAGTCTGCATGAAACTTCACTTCCTCAGAAATTAAGAAAATGTGTTTACATATGCAAATGAGGCAATTTACATATGATCAGTTGCATACAATTCAAAGTGTAAACATTGGATGAACCAAGTTCAATATTCTTTCTTCATGTTGTTGACATTTTTGAGTCAACGGTTTGCCCTAGAAATATGAATCCTCTTCACCATGTTTTTAGGGAATTAAATGTTAAATGAATATATATGTTATATATATAGGCTAGCTATGCTATATGAACAAACCCCTCTTACAAAACATTTGCAATATAGTGAGAAAGGAACTGAACTGGACTTTCTGGCTCAGAGAGAAAGCTAAAAAGTGAGAAAACGCCTTGAAGTGATGTAGTTAGATGTAGTTGTTAGATGCATACTAAATAAACCTCACACTAAGGCAATTGCTTTTATGCATCACAAGTTATCTGAAATATTATGAAAGTTATCATCACATAACCTTTGGTGCAGCCCCCCCCCCCCCCCCCCCCCGCCTCCCCTCCCTCCAGCAGCATAGAAGATCTTCATCAACAAAAATCTAAATGTTAGTTTCTTTTCCACCAGTCTGAAAGAGACAAACGTTATACAGGCAAAATCCACCCACAGTCGCCTGCACCAATAAAAAGTGCCGTGCTGGACGTACAGCCGGGATGCGACCAGTGGGGGGAGCAGTCCGCCGGATCTGAAACTCTCCCTGCATGCGTCTCACAATCCATCAGACACACGGAGCCGCACAACACTTACTTGACAAAACTGTCCACGTGCGACATGGACGCCTCGTAGTTCTTCCCGCCCACCTCCTGACAGTGCATCGCCAGGAAGTGCGGCTTGTGCGACTGTACGGCCTGTAAGGGAGGGGGGCGGGGGGGGGAGGAGGGGAGAAGGACAAAACAAACAGGTGAAAAAGGAGGCACAGGGGCAACGCTTCAGAGGACGGGCACACGGGGGGGGGGGGGACAATGGGTGCGGCCTCGACGACTCCACTCCGTGACGCGCTGCCTGCTGTATTTACACGAGACAAAGGGCCTGGCTAATGTAGGCGCGAGGCACTTAGCCAGCTCGCTCCACAAGTCAGCCACCCCCCCCCCCCCCCCCCTCCTTCTGACATCGCCGGCAGAGAAATGTCAGGACGAGGGTACTAGAATGTGGGGAGACACGGGCTGCTGCAGCAGCAGAAGGGGATGCATCCACGAGGCCTGGTGTCACGTGACCTCACGACAGGCGTCACCTGACGCGCGCGCCCTGTCAGAGGTGTTCAGGGCGGCTGACCTCTAATGGAAAAATCAATAGCGGAGTGATTTACAGCACTCACTGTAGCACTCAGACGGGAGGCCGGTGGGCTGAGGGAGACGCATGCATCAATGTCAGCGGGGGAGAGGAATCGACAACTGCCCACCCTCCTCCCCCCCCCGCCCACCAGCCCGAGTGTAGCTCCCCGCTACCCCGCCAGGCACCTCCACCTCCTCGGTCACTGCGAGGCCCAATCAAATAAAAAGTAATGTATGGCAATAACAGCATGGATTTTCCATCAACCTATGGCTGGTCACTTAGCCCAGCGACCCAAAGAGCGCAGACCTGCTGCTGCTCAGACTTGGGAGAGATTAGTGGACCTATCAACTCAGTGGAAAAGGTCACCGTGAGGGAGCCTGCGACTAATGACGGGCTGAAGCGGGACATGCGTGTGTGCGTGCGTGCGTGTGTGTACGTGCGTGCGTGCGTAAGTTAATCGACTGCATTCTATTTATCTTTCCAGGCTGTAAATTCAGGGCAAAGCTGGCAAACAGACAGCATCCAGCTGGTAATTTCATTACGAGAATCGCCGGCGCTATCAGCCCAAATCCAAACAGCACCGGCCAGGTGACCTTACTCCGCCCCGGGACCCGTCGGCCAATTAAATCCAGGAACCGCCGTTAACGAGAGGCTCTGTTGACTTTTGAGTCGCGAGGAGACGGAGATATTGACACGCCAAATATTGCATCTATAAAGCGGGATTTTTTACGATGGCCGACTGCAGTGGCCTCTCTAAACAGCCCCGCAGGGACAGCGACGGTTGCCGTGGCAGTGCTTGTGGGGGAGGAGGAGGGGGGGGGGGGGGGGGTGTCTGGCCCGCTGACATGACTAACAGAGTGAGTGGTGCCACGTGCTCTCTGTGTGCGTGCGTGTCATTATTTTTGACCAGAGAGCGAAGGCCGTGTGACAGAACAACGAAACCCAAAGCGAGAAAAGCAAAAGTGTGCTGCTTGCTGAAAATAAAAAGCCCCATTATGAATTGAATATTGAATTAGAAATCTAAAGTGAAATAGTTGAAAGAAGACGTTTTGGAAGTGTAGAGGGGCGCGAGCGCCGGGCTGAGTTGAAGGGCCAGCTCAAGTGGAAGCAGAGTGCAGCATCAGTTGGAGTGAAGAACTGAAAGGAGTTGAAGTGTCAAGTCTGAGCGTAGCTGATGAATAGTAGTGACAAAAATGAAAGTTTGTCAAAGAGAATAAGTCCTTTTTTTATTTAGATTTGAAACAATAAAAGTGTGAATCATATTTTAGTTGTTTTTTGTTGCAGCAGAGTTGATATAAATGAAAATCATTTAAATCAACATTAGGTATCGTTTCTTATGGGGCTCTGAACAAGGAAAATTAATTGTGATAACAGCAAATATGGTATCGTCTAAAGATTCAATGCAGTTTTGTGTCTTGCTGAAACCTTTGATTTACGTACTTATGGAACAGGCTGATGAAAGCAGTTGAAATGAAAGGTGAAAGCAGTCGGTCAATTGAAAAGCGATGAATACAGTATGTCAATTTGTTAGTAAAAGTAGTCGCCATATGCAATGTTGAAGTGGGACATTAAAATGTGTGTAAAGAAGCGTAATGAGCAAAGCATGCTGGGATTCTGGTCTGGTAACCACGTTCCTAAAGAGCTGGATTTGATGAGCTGAATGATCTACTGGACATTCGTTACTTCCAAGCTTCTATCTCACTTTGTTCACACTTTTACTCTTGATAATGGACATTTCAAGTCGTGACAACACATAATTCTTACCAACGCCCAAGAATACAATGTTTTAACACAATCTTTGCAATAAGAGCTCAAAATGCCGTCTACCAGTCAGAGAACGTCTTTCAGGAGGACCGATCAGGAGAGCCTGGCCTCTATGTCACGGTGGGAAATAATCAGAGTACGAGGGGTTTGTGAGCTGCCGTACAAAAATTCTTTCATCACTGACAAACCGTGAACTCAAGCAAAGTCTTTCCGATAACATGAAATGGGGAAAAAGGCGACTGGTGGTGGTATTCAAAGTAGATTGTTTTCTATGCGATGCAAAGCGCCGTCCACGGCCAGATTCTCATTCACCCCAGTGTCCTGCACGCACGCGGAGCAGACGAATGGCACCTTCTTTGCTTATGCGTAAATGACGGGGCATCCTGAGACTGGGGAATTTGATTGTGCGGTCGAGGTAAGCAAATGAGAAGCAAAAGCCTTGGTCACTGCATGTGGTAGTTCGAAAGGACACTTTGCAAAATCAAGAACACGTTCTCCTCTTACCTTTAGTGTCATTTAATATTTGAAATGGCTTTGTTCGGAGTGGTTTAGCTGTGGTAGATCGAGATGTCAGTCTACTTTCTGATATGTCAATCGATGGATCTCTGCTTGAAAAGCGGTTTGTTTTTGTCCTTTAATAGTTTCGGCTTTCACTCTTAATCTAAGGGGCCGTTCCTTTACCTGTAACTACGCTTGCCGGGTGTCTCTCCTGTGATCGTCCGCGCGAGACATCACGGCGCTTCAGAGCACATAAAGGAGAAGCCGAAGGAGTAACAGCACAAACTTTGTTTTACATGTTTGTGTAAGCGCTGACTGACAGATGCCGACGTGCGCTCCTCCACGCCCCGAAGAGCAGCCGCTGAGCGGTACAGCGGGCAGAACAAGTAGTCCACTCACTGCCGATTTGGCAGGTTTTCTCACTTACAAAGCACGTCTGTCATTTTTATCACAGGTACTCTTCAACTGTGAGTGACGGAATATAAAACACAAATCCAGAAAATTTAAAAACTGATTTTGCAGTTTATTGCATGACATAAGTATTTGATACATCAGAAAAGCCAAACTTCAAAGTCTTCTCCAGATCATTCAGGTTTTGAGACTTTCATCTCAGATTTTCTATTGGGTTCAGGTCTGGAACACTGAAATGCAATGTAATGTAAACATGTAAGTTGACTTTACTTTTTAGTTATTGGCTTTTACTTATAATTTATATTGGTTGACATAAACACTCTCTATCCATCGGATACCGGCCGGCCCGTCTGTCAAAGTCAATGTGGCCCCAGAGCCAAAAGGTTTGCCCCCCCCCCCCCCCCCCCGGCCAAGCGTTAACAGTTAACAGGGGGGTACAGGAGCGAAAAAAAGGGGGGTCTTTTGTGAGGAAAATTTATTTTCTTGAGGAAATTCCTGAAACCCCAAAATGAGCGGAAAAAAAAAAAGGGCACACACACACACACACACACGCACGGGAACGCAGACACCTGTGCAACCACGTCGGACACGTGCAGGCGTGACTGGTTCCAAGCCGCAGTCACACCAGTGGGGAGCCAGTTTAACCGCTTTTATTGCTCATCGGGAAGCTCCAGTGGTACCTCGAAGATTTGTTTTGACATTTATATAAGAGAAGTCGGCTAATTGGTGCGTGCCGTGGAACCGACAACACTTGTTTTAAGTCTCTTCTAAAGCGCTCTCCCCTCGCTCCGATGGGACTAGAGAAGTGCTGATTGGGTTCGCCGGGTGAAGCGGCCTCTGGACTGCCGCTTCCCGGCCTCGCCGCCACAGCCTGATGCTCGTTTCCATGACGTCAGAAGGCAGCGGAGGTGGCATCTGGCCACAGGCCCGCTTGCTTTGGCACACCTCTCCTCCCCCATCCTCACTCGCTCTGCATGCTTTTCTTTACCCTCTACCTCACACACGCACACACAGAGATACGTTACGCCCCTCTGAGGTATGGAAGGCTGCTGCAGGATGCAAACAGAATTCCTCAACAGCCACAAGCAGGACGCACGCACGCACACGCACACACACACACACACACACACACAGTTTGATATTAAATATTGTCTATGCTTGGAACCCGGCAGTAGACGTGTCTCTGCTTGCCGGTGACGGTGGTGATTACGGAGAAGAGTGAAGCGGAGCGAAACTAAAGCTGCTGTGTTTTTGGACTTCCGGTATTCAGTGCAAATATATTTTATGGTAATCAGGCCCGTTTGTGATTTTAATCAGCTGCTGGCAAATGGAGTGGGGGAAAAAAAGTTGTCCCGCAACTCAGATTTGATTGAATTTACCGTGTGTGTTGTCCGTGTTTAGGACAGGAAGACATCCAGGTGGACATTCCTCTGTCTCTACTGCTAAAGACACATTTTCAATCTGCTGTTAGCCAACACCATGTTGTGTCAATATTTGTAGAAACCTTAAGGTTACGGAAACATATGGTTTCTATTTAGTAGCACAACTCTGTCTCCAGCTACAGCGGTCAAGAGACGGACACCGCAACCCTTTAAGGGACTCGAGGTTAAGACAAATATGAAAAGAAATTAAGCACAACGGCTGTGGTAATATTATTGGAAAACAGGTGAGAAGAATTCACATTTAGACCTCGGGCCTGATGGAGGCATAATGCGCAGCTGTACTAGTGGTCGACATCTAAACGTTGCATCAGAACCCATAATGAGGAGGACAGGCGAGAACGACTGGATACGCGGGTTCATTCTAATGCAGGATTTGGTCGCTCTCGTAAATCCACTTTATACAAACCTCCGGCAAAATTAACTCATGCGGCAAAACCATGATGCGTTTCAGCGCTTTGTGACATCACTGCTGTTGATTAGAGTGACCATAAAAGACACTTAATGCGACTTGTTGGTCGACCAATCAGGAATTCCTTGTTGGTCGACCAATCAGTGGCTTCTCCCCTCATTAGTAAAACGCAGACCTCAAACGCCTCGTGTCCAAAGAGTTCTCCTCAGGTAATTCACATATTGGGAATACCATCTCCTCAGCCTAGAGGTACAAATCCTTATGTTCTTGAGACAATATTTGACTATTCCTGCATTACGCTTGAGGCTGAACAGAATGACGACCGCCTGGCTCTGTGTGTTTGTGTGTGCGCTCAGGGTGAGTCTGGAATATTCCCCGTCACAGCCAATGGGCTGGTGCATTCTGGGAACAGTAAATAAGAATGTGTGCTGTGAAAAAAAAGTAAAAGGCCAACATTTCTTTTGCACAACAATGCATAAATAGAGGCACCAAGAGGCAACAGGAGCACTAAAAAAAGCATGCAGAGGCGGCAAATCTTTACACAAATCAGTTACATACACATATTCCACTCACTTTCTCTGCATCGAACAACGCCAGCAGTTACAGAAAAAGGAATAGCTTCTGTGTGTCTTTAACACACATTAACTCCGTGCCTCCACGAAAAAAAGCAAAATAAATTATAAATGAATAGTAAAGATAGATAATGACGCACCACCCTGGAGATAAGATACCCCTCTGTGTCAGAGTGAATCCTCTGGATGTTTACATGGCGTATCATGACCTCACTGGTGTATGTGTATATATTCACACTACCGTTCAAAAGGTTTGGGGTCACCCAGACAATTGTGTTTTCAATGAAAACTCACTTTTATTTATCAAATGAGTTGCAAAATAAATAGAAGATGTAGCCAAGACATTGACATGGTTAGAAATAATGATTTTTTGTCAACCGTGTTCTTCAAACTTTGCTTTCATTAAAGAATGCTCCATTTGCAGCAATTACAGCATTGCAGACCTTTGGCGTTCTAGCTGTTCATTTGTTGAGGTACTCTGTAGAAATCCACACGCTTCCTGAAGCACGTCCCTGCGTCTGTGACTGCGTTGGCCTCTCCATCACAGACGGCGTGCCAGCGGTCTGCTTCTGCCCTCAATAATAGCGCATCATGTGGAGGTGTGCTTTGGGTCATTGTCCTACTTTAGGAGGAAATTTGCTCCAACCAAGCGCTGTCCACAGGGTACGGCGTGGTGCAAAAAGGAGTGATAGCCTTCCAATCTTCCTCGGTCCAATTTCGGTATTCTTTTGCCCATATCAATATTTTATTTTTATTGGCCAGTCTCAGATCTGGCATTTTCTTTGCCACTCTAGAAGGCCAGCATCCCGAAGTCGCCTCTTCACTGTAGACGTTGGCGTTTTGCGGGTACCATTTAAAGAAGCTGCCTGTTGAGGACCTGTGAGGCGTCTATTTATCAAACTAGAGACTCTAGTATACTTGACTTCTTGCTGGGTTCTGCACCGGGGGCCTCACACTTCTCTTTCTACTCTGGTCAGAGCCTGTTTGTGCTGTTCTCTGAAGGGAGTGGTTCACACCGTTGTAGGGAAATTGTAATTTCTAAGTACACAGATAGACTGGCGAGTTTCACATGAAAGTTATTTTTCTGGCCATTTTGAGAGTTTAATCAAAGCCACAAATGTGATGCTCCAGATACTGAACTAGCTCAAAGGAAGACCAGTTTTATAGCCTCTCTCACCAGCATATCTGTTTTCAGCTGTGCTAACATAACACAAGGGTTTTATAATCATCCATTAGTCTTCTAAGGAGATTAGCAAACACAATGTACCATTAGAAGACTGGAGTGATGGTTGCTGGAAATGGGCCTCGACACACCTATGTAGATATTATATTAAAAACCGTGAAAAAAGACGTTTTCGCCTAGAATAGTAATTTACCACATCAACAATGTATAGAGTGCATCTCTGATTAATTTAATGTTATCTTCATTGAAAAAAACTAGTGCTTTTCTTCGAAAAATAAGGAAACTTAAAAACCTTTGAACGGTAGTGTGTACACACACACGCACACTAAAGATTAGATAACATGCCAGCGACGTTATTTTCGTGTTATTTTCCATTTCCATCAGGAAGTACTTCCTGATCAGGAAGTAGTTTGAGGAAGTAGTTTGCTCCGAGCGTTCTGTTTCACCGTGAGAAAGTGTCTCCTTTACGCCCCACACAGATAGATTTATGCTCCCTTCTGGAAGAAAGAAAACTGGAGTTGACTGCATGTGAAGTGGGATCCTCCTCCGGTTTGGTCTGCTGGGACATGGGCGCTACATCACGAGGCACAAATCAATATGGGGGCTATTTAGCGTGACAGCAGCGCAGAGTAACGCCCTTAGAATGGCTCTTTTTCGCTGATGAATTCCAGGACACGGCTCATTTCCCTCGTGTCGAAATTAGAGGTCCTTGGACTTCTAATTTCTTCCTTTTTGTTTCGTTACCCTCTGTTGCAACGTTTGTCTGTCAGTCAGTGTTTTCACCCCACGTAGCTTGTTAACATAAGCGAAAAAATGAATCCAATTTAAGTTCCTCCTCACTGATACAAAGCTTTAACAGAACAAACAAGAACGGATGTTTTTTTGGGCAAAAATCTATGAATTTCTTTTCAATTTTGTTATCTGCTCCAACATATATGCACACTGGAAGTGTCACGTCAGTGAAAACACCTCGCAGAATGTATATTGCTAAATGAATTCATCACACACAGCCACAGTAGAGTTGTGCGAGTGTGTTGTGAGAGGTTTTGGTTGTCATGGCAGAACAGTGCGTGTGTCGCTGTTCTCGGTCTGTCACTTTAAGGCAGCAGTTGTGAACTTCCTCACTTCCTCTACCCAGTGGAAAGAGTTGTGGTTAGTCAGGGGTTCCGATGCAGATGAAAAGGTAAGATTTGAGACATGACTGAGCTTGATCTCTCTATTGCAGAAAAGTGCATTCAGAAGGGTGAAAGTACGGTGAGTGCATGTTAGTCCGATGGATTTGTTTTAAAAGACAGAGTTTAGAATTCGAAATTGGATTCAACATATAAAAAAATATTAAATGCATCACAGTTAACAACATCTCTTTGCGAAAGAGAAAAAAATCATCACCATCTGCACTGGCCTCAAGGTTTGTTTCCAAGGTCCCGTAACAGCACTTGAAGTTATAGAAACAAGTGCCAGTGCTGCACCAATAAGACATCCACTGTGCTACTGATGTAGCAAATTAACAAAGGATGACATGAAAAATCAGTGAGTCAACGGATACAGCAGTGGTAAAAGCTGCAGCTGCAGTAAAAACATGGAACTGTATTTAAGACAAATAATTGAATTTAGAATATTCCAAAAATAAAGACTATCAACCAAATGGGACAAAAGAAGTGCTCATACTGGGAGTTTCCCCATTTCAGCAGCTGTCAACTTGCCATGTGAGAAAAACCCAAGATGTTGTTTGTCACACTGACATGATTAAATATTTCGGGCTGCGCCACTTACCTGATAAAACTCCCTCAGCCAGGTCTTCTGCAGGTTTTCAGGCTGGAAAGAGAAGAAAGGGGGATGTTAGTGATCTTGTTATCAGTACATCCTTTATTTCCTTACAATCTCATAAAATAACCCTGCAAATGACAAAGTACTTTTACGTTGTATCCTTTATAGCAGGAGTCCAACTGTTTTTGCCTGACGGACCGGTCTCATGCCTTATAGCCGAGGGATTTTTATCCGCCATTATGGATCAACAATGACACGTGCTCACATCCACGCGCTCTCTGTCCGTGAGCACGTGTCTGCCCGCAAGGTTGTAAACCTCGGGGGAAACACTGTAAAGATACATGATGACACGATGACACAACGGACAATGCATATAGTCAAATCAATGTAATTAACTCAATGACACGGGCGACCGGTCATATTTATTTACAACAAAGCATGACAAAACAATCCATTAAAACTGCGGCACTAAAACAGCCCACAGAAAATAATGATACACATATGGAAGATATGGAAGACACTATGTTGTCTTGTCGTCCATTGTCGTACTGTCTGCTGTTACGCACCAACCACCAAGTCAAATTCCTTGTATGTCTGACATATTATGGCAATGTTTAAATAATATTTAAATGGCCCATAGGGAACGATGTTAACAATAAAAACATAAGGTATAAGGGACAAATCAACACCCTGCAGTTCACTTTCCAAATGCTGTTCACTATTTACAGACAACATTCATCCTGAATTCTCACTAAATACTAAGATCTGCTTTCTAGCTTCCTCATGCTGACCAATGGCAGCGCATGTTAACGTTGCTGTGCAATGCAGATAAGCGTCTACCTAGAGGACCACTAAGGGCTGGACGCAGAGCAACAGAGGAGGACAGGAGCGGTGCAATGAGAAAACGAGATACTGGGAAAGATATGTATGTATACGCAGTGTATTTATAAAGAATTAAAATAGTTACAACTTTGTGATTCTAGAAGAGAAACCTCACAGATTCACACAAACATACATCTATGTATTATGTCCAACCACGCGTTGGTCTCCATGCATCTACTGACAGGAAGTGGCCTCCCTCCAATTCCAGCATGGTTCCCTCGGGGTCACGAGTCTCTCGCCTTGTTTTGCTCTGCCTGCGTCCGTCATTCGCTCGCCCGCTATCTCTCCTCACTTTAAAAGGCTCTCCCCTAGACCTTGAAACTCTTATTTAATTTGTGCAGTGGAAACGGAGACAAGGCCCTGGGCAGTCTACCATTTAAGGAGAGATCTTCCTATGTCGATATCTAGGTCTGCTGAACTGCTCTGCGTGTGCGTTGGAAAGTTTGTCCTAACAAAACTGGTCCATAATTAGAACATTCAAGGGATGTGCAGGTCCTGTGGGTCTCTGGAACAAAGCCCCAACAGAACACCGAAGGTGCTCCATCCCTAAATAGCAACCTCGTCGTCATGACAACCGTTTCTAAAACTGTATGATGAAGCAATATTTAAACATTGCACCTGCACGTTGAAGATGAACAGTTTTCCCTTCAAATAACACAAATATTTGTCTTTGAACCTGAATAAAGTACAATCACCATGACTTTTTTTTGGTTTGTTTTTAAAAAAGGACCACAATCGCCTCTCTTTAAATAAAAAGGATCTGAAGCACAGCGGCTAATACATCCACCGAGGTGGCCAATGTTTATACCTCTTTCAATAACGATTTCAAGTCATCGACCTGAAAATGGCGAGTCTCCAAATCACAGCCGACCAAAAGTTTCCTCGAATTACAGATTCGGTACGGTCACGGAGGGATAATTACAGAGGCCCTTCATAATGATTGATCAGTCATTTCAATAAGAAATGGCAACGACCTCGAAATACGATGCCCTGCTGGTTCAGAGACCGACAAATCGTTCAGTGACGAAGAGGAGTCGGAGTCAGCATTGAGCATTTTGGGAACCTCTGCACTAGAAAAACTGACACCACAACTATTCCACAACAAACGAAGGCTAACTGGCAGCTAGCACTTTTTCTTTTAATGCCCGTCCTTTAAAAATAATACCATGGAGTTATAGCCGAAGGATGAACTGAAACCATTACATGAGAGCAGAGGAAACTGGGCAAAAAGAAAAAGCCACGGGTTAAAAATGCAAAGTCGCTAAATGACCTGTAATGTAATGAAACAGCTCGACAGCCATCAGACTCTTGTTTGGAAAGGCTGCCGCCACACTACGATTGGCCGGTCTGCATTCAAGGGGCGGGATTTGGTCAACTAAAGGGACGTGAACTACCTAAAAGAGCTAACTTGAGACAAAGCTTAAAATGTACCCGGTTTTGAGCCTCGGGGGACGCACGCATGCAGAAACCAGTCATGTCATCGGTCGAGGATACGATCACAATTCTCTCATGTCACACATGCGATTTGAACGCAGACTGTCCACGCCGTTCGGCCCGGAATGCAAAAGAGCAGATGCAACTCCCATCGTCACGTCAAAAGCATGTTCAGAATCGGCTGAATAGGGAGTTTCCCGCAAAAAGTGATGAATTCTTTTGTCACCTCGAAAGGAATTCATGTGTTTAAAAAAAAAAAAAAAAAGAAGGAAAAAGGAAAATGATGAAGATCTTATACCTGATATAAATTGGCATTTGGAGGGGCACCTAAATGTCTCAAGACTGTGTGTGTGTGTGTGTGTGTGTGTGTGTGTGTGTGTGTGCACGTGTGTGTTCCCAGCCTCAGGCAGATCAGCCAGAGCGCAGGTCTATATAAGGACATGAGCACTGGGCCGTGTCATCACTCACATGGATGAAGAGAACATGAGAGCGAGCCGGAGACCGGCACACAGGAGCACAAGGGTTCAGATTGGGGAGTTGCCACCAAACCTTATGGTACAACCCTGGGAGGGTCACACGCGCAGGGTCTCACCCACGCTGATGGCGGCAAATGGTGCACACAAATACGTTTCAAATCGGAGCCTCTGACGAATCGCAGATATTTTTTGCTTCCCCCCCATTGGTCGTTTCTCCCAGGAACGCGGTTAGCTGCGCTGAAGCTTTTCAAAGAGCTTCATGTGTATCACACACACGAGACAGTCACAGGGTGCGAGGCCAAATGAATTGAATCTCTTTTTTTTTTTTTTTATCAGAGTGGAACCTTGAGGCGGAGACCGACTTGACGGACGGGCTAAAAGCGTTGACAGCGTTTCTTTTTTGCAAACAAGACTTTTGCTTCTCTCATCTGGGGGATCCGTGTCCCGGGTGAACCTCACCTGGAGCAGAGAGAGCAGCTCACTTAGGATTTAGGTTTGACCCCCCCCCCCCCCCGCCCTATATATAGAGTCTATATATACACGCAGCAGCGGAAAGTTTAATTAGAGTTTAATTAGAAAAGCGAAAATAAAGCCGAACCCTCCTCCGCCTCTTCTCTCTCCTCTGGATGTTCCACTGGCTCGGTGCAGTTCCACCTCCACCCTCTTCTTTACCCGTGTTCTGTTTCCATCACTCCGTGGCCTACTTTTGAAACAGCGTGGGGAACCTAGAGACTCTGCTTCTCTTTTTTACTTATTTTTTCTTTTTCAAATGCCAGCCCTTGCAAAATAGAAGTAGAGCGGCGATGGGATGAATCCGTTCGGTTCTTTGCGTTCCGACGACGAATTGGGTCAAAGTCTGATGCCGTGATTGAAGCACAAACTCGAGCGAGCGAGTCCTCCTCTTCTTTTTCGCGGAGCGCGTCAGACAGGAATGTGACTTTCAGTATGTTCCCTCCGACAACGCAACACAAAACACTCCAACGTCTTTCATCTTTACCAAATACGATGCAACGCACTGTAGCCGAGGTGCAAGGAAAGTTTTACCGTTGCAAATCAATATAGGTTGTCAGGTAATCCTAAAAAAAGGTACGGCGAGTCCCCTGACCTTGGACGTGATGTTTTTCTTTGTATGCGTGTCATTTGAGTGACAGGCTAACCCCGAACCACAGAGTGCATCGGTGTCGACAGGAAGTGAAGCGCGATCGTCTGAACTCACAGCTGTACAGATGTGACCGCTCTCCCTTTTGAATTTGCCGTGAAACGTGTGCGCGGCTCCGCTGGACTAAAACGGTAACATGACGTGCCGAGAGTTGAACCTCGGCGTGACACTCGACAGCCAACTTTCCCCCGATCCCCAACATCACTGCGACAACACGATCCTGTAGATACACGCGCTACAACATCAGGAGAATACGTCCCCTCCTCACTCAGGTACCGACTACTGCAACTCCCTCCTGCAGGTCTCCCTGCTGCCGCCATTCCACCTCTGCAGCCCATCCAGAAGCTGCTCTTTAACCTTCTGAAATTCTCCCACGCTACTCCACTCCCTTCGCTGACCGGTGGCTGCCCGCATCCAGCTCAAAACATTGGTGCTCACGTACCGTGCTGTGAATGGGTCCGGTCCGGTCTACATCCAGGACATGGTCACACCCTACCTCCTGCAAAACTCTTTGCTGTCCTGCTCCTAAATGGTGGAACGAGCTCTCTGAAGACACCCGGACCGCTGAGCCTCACCTCTTCAGACTCTACCACGACTAAAAACATTAAACAGATTGTAGCACTTCAATTGTACTTATAACGGCTCCTATCTATAGCAAGTTGTAGATTGGCTTATTTAATGAAATTGCACTTTGTTTCTTGTTCTTTTGTGTCTGTATTCTTATGGTTGAAATGAACTCATTGTAAGTCGCTTTGGATAAAAGCGTTACGACATGTAATGTAATGTCTTGACCTTCAGGCTGCCGCAGAGCCTTAGGGGTCGCGACCTGAAGTGCACGCGCTGTTCCTTCCCCCTCAGCGAGGCTTCCTTTGGGTAAAAGTGTGCCGGCATTCCTCGTCCCGTCTTTGGCCGTTCTTCACTGAAGACCAGCTGGACCCCAATGCTGCTAGTTGGGAACATCGTCTGCCAGAAACGTGAACACAAACGCTCTGTTGTTTGTGAACGTCTTTGTCATTACCGAGCCTATTGATTACTTAGTATTAAAATGAACATTGCTTCAGTTTACTAGTCTATTTGGATACGCAAGGATAACCTTT